TAATGAAGAAATGTTAAAAGAAATATCGGTTTTCATAGAGATTATGTTACTTTCCATATCGGAAGAAATTAAAGAAATTATAGCAGAAGATGTATCATCCGAAAATAAATACTTTTCCGGATCCAAACCTAATTTTTTATTGCTTCTTTAAGTCGTTCTGCCAGTTCTTCCCAAAATTCCAACTCTATGAGTCAACGTCACGTACCGTTTGTTCTGGTATATTCGAGACGCGCTACGACTGTCTCCGCACGTCAGCGGTGCTTCGATCATGAATCGGTGGCATGTTTAAGGTTGCTTACTAGACAGAGTCAGCTTCGCGTCACAATATATAAGGCAGATTTACATAATAGGCTGGATGAAAATATTCGAATTATTCAATACGCGGATGGTATTTGTTTTTACGTCTTCCGTCGTACCTAGGAGCGACGCGTAAGAGATATATTGTGTATTGTATCAAGGATTGGTTGAATGAATTAGGTTTTATTCTTGCGTCGGAGAAATCGGCAATCTTCTGCTTCACAAGACACCGGCTTCATCTGGCGGACTCTATTATCATCAACAATACATCTTTTCCCATCGTAGATCAGTACAAATACTTTGGCATTGTTTTTGATAAGAAATTGCTTTGGTCCAGCAATATTAAATATATAAAAGGAACGTGTGATAAAGAGTTGAATTTGTTACGCACAGTGACTAAAACAAAGTGGGGGCCTGATCCAAACACTTTTATTATACAAATCTTATATACGCTCACACATGGATTATGGATGTACTTTATATGGGATGGCTCCAAATACCAATGTATTAATTCTCGACAGAGTACAATTTAAAGCAGTACGTATTTGTTTAGGTGCAATGAAATCATCGCCTTGTCATGTAATGTTGTCAGAAGCTCAGTAACCGCCGTTAAGTTTAAGACGAAAGTATTCGCAAAAAAATAAATTATGAAATACAGAACATTTAATACATTGTTAAAAGAAAAAGTCTCACTGCTAAGCATACAAGATCTAACTAACTCATACTGGGTAAAAAATTCACCATAGTTAGCACTGGCTTTTATTGATATCTATTATATTAAAGACATACAAAATTTTCATTATCCTATTAGGCATTCCAACGACCTGTCAAACAATAGGTGCCAGTGGGAAATTCTTGTATATTTAAGGGGGTAGCGACATAGTCTTGCAACTTGGACGCTATTTTTATTCGAAGTAGTACTCGCCAAGCCTGCCAATTTATGAAGAAATGTATAGGTGGGTTTTTTAAATATTATTTTTATTGTGTTTGACATAAAATATTTAAATGTAATCCATTATTCATGATTTTACGTAAAGTAGATAGAATACACCATATGTCGCCACCCTTAGATATACCAAACCTGCCCACTGGTAATTCATTTGTTTGGAATGCCTAATTCACAATTAGGCATTCCAACGACCTGACAATGACAAGTGGGAACTGACCATGAACTGACGTTTAGATATGGCAACCCTGTGGCACAGTTTACAGCTTAAAAGAATCAGTTCGCTCACTCGGACTAATTGGATGTTCCAATATAACATCCACTCCAGGGATACAAATTCAGGATGCGCAGAAGACTGCCGTTTGAATATAAGCGGTTGTCATATATTGTATTAGGCAATCCAAACAAATGAACTGCCAGTGGGAAGATTTGATATATCCAAGGGTTGCGACATACGATGTATTCTGTTTACAATACGTAAAATCATGAATAATGGATTACATTTAAATATTTTATGTCAAACACAATAAAAATAAGATACATTTTTTCATAAATTGGCAGGCTTTGTGACTATTATTTCGAATAAAAAAAAACGTTCAAGATGCAAGACTATGTCTCTACCCCCTTAGATATACCAGACCTTCTCACTGACAGCTATTGTTTGACAGGTCGTTGGAATGCTTAATTGGTAATAGTAACCCACTGCAAATTACGACCGCCATCTGATAACAAAATGAAATATGCTCCAAAGACATGTAACAGCATTGTACTTTACCAAATTGCACCTGTGCCAATCTGTAATCCACAGCAAAGTGGTTAAAAAAATTATTTTATATTCAAAAAATTACATAAGACATGACAGCGATAATTGTGTTTTCTCTGAAAATTACAATCCTAATTCATTGTGAATTATTAATATTTTTACCTAACTTTGGCAGAGATAGTCAATAATAATTATAAACTCTTGTTAGACAATTCTTTTAAACCATAATCATAGTAGTTTTTTTGTCGTTTCTATGACAACCTGTAAAAAAAATCTGATGTGTCCAACACATGACTTTCCTATCTAGTTATTATAGGCTTTTTCCGGTTATTTTGTACAACCTATTGCAGCATCTCTATAAATGTTTAGAGGATAAACTAAATATATACATTGTCCACATACATCTACCTCGAAACATTTTTCTATAGATATTCATTAAAAACGAAAATACTGAAATTTTCCTACAATTTCTTCATTACGGTCCATTTTAGAAAAATCATGTATAAACAAAAATTATAGAGATCGATATCGCAAACAACTTTTATTTCAAAAACTTTCATAAAAATCAGAATTTTGCACATCTTGTCAAATTTCTCGAATACGGACCATTTTAGAAAATTTTTGTATAGAACAAAAATTATAGATAATTATATTAGAAGTAACTTTTATTTAAAGAATTTTCTTCTCCAAACATAAATAACAGATATATTCCATAAAATATAGAAACGGCCTCCCATAAAGTACCCCCCCAGATGTTCCGACTTTGTCCAAAATCGAATCATTTCACGTCAGGCCGAAATAAACCTTAAGTTTAAAATTTAATGTTTTTTTCTGTATCCGTTTTTGAGTTTTCTTCAAAATTCGAAATTTACACATTTTCTCAAATATCTCGAATACGGTCCATTTTAGAGAAATTATGTATAGAATAAAAATTATAGAGAATTTTATTACAAACAACTTTTATTTGAACAATTTTTATAAAAAATTATTTTTTTTAAATTTTTTCAAATTTCTCGAATACGGACCATTTACGGAAAATTTTGCATGAAACAAAAATTATAGATAATTATATTAGAAGTAACTTTTATTCGAAGAATTTTCTTCTCCAAACGTAAATAACAGATATATTCCATAAAATATAAAAATGACCACCCATAAAGTACCCCCCTAGATGTTCCGACTCTGCCCAAAATCTAATCAGCTCATTGGACGCTGAAACAAAGCTTAAGTTTAAAATTTGGTGTTTTTCTGTGTATCGGTTCATGAGTTATGCGTTATACAGACACACACACACACACACACACACACACACACACACACACACACACACACACACACACACACACACACATACACACACACACACACACACACACACACACACACACACACACACACACACACACACACACACACACACACACACACACACACACACACACACACACACACACACACACACACACACACACACACACACACACACACACACACACACACACACACACACACACACACACACACACACACACACACACACACACACACACACACACACACACACACACACACACACACACACACACACACACACACACACACACACACACACACACACACACACACACACACACACACACACACACACACACACACACACACACACACACACACACACACACACACACACACACACACACACACACACACACACACACACACACACACACACACACACACACACACACACACACACACACACACACACACACACACACACACACACACACACACACACACACACAGACATCATCGCGAAAATAGTCAAAACGGATTCAGGGGACCTCAAAACGTAAAAATCCGTCGAAAACTCGAAGTCGAAAAAAATCATGATTCCTATACTTTCCTTATATCTGTATACAGATAGGAAAGTAATGAATCACAACAATAGGCATACAAATAAATTTTTAAACACTTTGCTCAGGATTGGGATTGTCACAGGTGCCATTAGGTAAAGTACAATGTTTTTACAAGCTTTTGGGGTATATTTTATTTCATTATCAGATGGCAGTAAAAATTTACAGTAGGCTCTTGGGCTATTATGATTTGATTCTGTATGCGCCAGTGATACAAATCCGAGTTGCGCAATGTATAAACTGGAACACTGAGATCAAAAGTGTCGACGCAGAGTGAGCGAACTGATTCTTTTAAGCTATAAACTGTGCCTGTGGCCTGCTGTTATTGACATACTCAATGATACGTATATCGTTGTATAGATTGCTAAAAGCGGGTCCTTTTGCGAGCGGCCATATTGCCTCTCAAGTGCGTATTAATCAGAATGAGTTTAACAAAAATGTGTTTTAACACCAATTTTCAGCCTTTGAATATAGTAAAAAAAATAATTACCTACATTTTTACTTCAAGGGATACATTTATGTCTATTTTGAAAAACATGGATGATCTATCTATATAACTATTTACTTCATTGAACCTATCAAATCACTAGGCTTACAGGGTTGCCATAATGTTGCCATATCATAAATCATAACCTATCAAAACCCACTGGTAGTCATTTTGTTTGGAATGCCTAATTGTAATTTTGAAGTAATTTTATACAAACTACCCATACATTTTACCTCCTTTATATAAAATAGTATGTGGCAAATAGTACAAACTAGTGCTATTCGCACCACCAACACACACAATTCAAAACATAAATTTTACGGCCAAACTATCATTTTTACGATGTTCTGTTATTTGTAGACTAATTATAGTGTGCTGGATGTCTAATAAGAACATACTATGAAAATTAAAGGAGGAAAAGGCAGGATAAATAGTAGGACAAGAATCAGATGGTAAGGTGACGCAGCTAAAATGAATTGTACGAATCATCTAGAAAGAAAAGATCATTGTATTTCCAAATATTGAAGAATTTAGTTATGATCGTTATGATAATAAGAAACAATATTCTGTTTAATTTGACTACCTACTTACTTGTCCTATTGATGTTGCCGGAATCTCTTCTCTCATTGTAGTAAACGCGGATTCTAAAATTAGCCCAGAGGGTACAATATTATATTCTTCATTTAATGTTCTCACTGTATGTGTACTTAGAGCAGTACCTAAAGAATGACCCCAAATATAAATATCGTTCTTGGTTTGAAATCTTATCCATTTAAAAATTTGAGACATATCACTTACAATTCCTAGTTCAGAAGGAGGTAGGCCTGAACCAGAATCTCCATAACCTGTATAATATTAAATAAAAAAACTTTAAGGTTCTATATATACTCCCTTATTATTAGTATTTGTATTAGTATTATGATTAAGCATTAAACTGGACAAAATATTCAGAAAGGGTATTTACTCGTTTTATATTTAATATTAGTGCATCTTTTTTAATAATCTTTCTCCTAATAAGATATAATTCTGCAGTCAACAAAATGTATGATTACTAATATTAGAGAGTTATTGCAAATTTCTATAACGTCAGCCACTAATAGTGACAACCTAATTAGAGGCAAATAAATTCCATGCTAAAATAAGACTTATTGCAAATCTGAAATTTTGACATTAGAGTCCTTGTCCTTATACCCATTTCTAACCTCATTTTAAAAATTTTAAATTACAGTTTATCTTAGAGCATATCTTTTTTGTTGTTTATAATATAATAGTACATAATATGGAAGAGGCAGGGGCGGCTCGTGACCAAAATTTTGGGGGTTTACAGTAGCAGAATATAGATCCAGGTACAGATATTCGCTCCGTGCGCGACAGCAGCGTCAATTCGTTTTGGTACTAATGGACTATTTCTGCCTATACTGACAAATGCAATTTTTAATAGAATGCGTAATTAAAAAGTATATATGTTAGTTTTAATAAAAGTATATGGATTTGTAAAACAAGTAAAACATTAATTTATTGTTATTATATATTTTTATCTCTTAAATTAAAGAAAATTATGTATAATCAATAAAAATGAATAATAAAATATAGGCAGGCAACAGTATTTACTGGAAAATGTATGAGAAGTTGCCTAAGTCTAATAAGTTGTCATTGAAGAATTATCCTATTCTGTCAAAATAAAAAAATAATAGCATGAAGTTAAAATTTTTAAAAAAAGGATCGTTATTTATATTTTCATTTTTGTTGGAAAGAAAACATAGAATTAATGATTAAAACTGGTTTCCTATCAGTAAGTCACAAAATTGTATTCCAGCCACATATAATCAAAGGCAGAAATGTTGAAATCTAGTCCTTGTTGAATGAAGATTTAAGAATAAAAGGATATTAAAGAACATCGTAAAATAATAATTTATTGTTTATTTAAAACCTTTCAAGTTTCTGATGTCTACTATTTCCAGCATTACTGTTATTATTATAAAAATAAAGGTAATTTTTCTTCTTATTGTACACCATTTCTTTGATTTAATTTCCACTTTGCTACTGAATTTTTTTATATAAGTTTCACTGTTTTTTGTGGTAGTATTTGTACAATTTTCAACACAGCAACTCCGGTTGCTTATTGTATTGTTTTTACCTACTTTTTGAAAAAAAAAATAAAATGTATACGTGTACCTATTTGATATGCCAAAATTACAAAATATCGCCCTAAAATGCACGAATTATCCGCAGCTAGCGCTAGTATCGCTTTTGCTTCCCTTTCCATGACTTCGCACGGAGCAAATAGGTAAAAAACTGTCAGTGTTTTAGAAAGGTATATTATAAACTTTCTAAAACAATGAAAGTTTTTTCATAAATCTGTACTGATACCTATATTCTGTCACTGTGAACCACCCCACGAGCCGCCACTGGGAAGAGGCATTAGAAATTACCATTTTAGAAGATTTATATGACGATGATATTAAATATTTAATATTAAAAAACTTCGAAGTTGTCGAGCGCACTCGAAACTATGAAGTCGCCACTAACTGCTGTCCTTAAACATTCACAGTTAAGGACAGACACAATCTTTATTAAAGTCAGTTCTAGAATGTAAGTGATCTGCGCATGCTTAGATGTCAAAATAAGAGCAGCAATAATAGTGACTGACCTTAAGTGAACTTGCAATAACTCTCTATTGTTTAAAAATAGGTTTATTAAGGACATTTTAACGGATTTATGTCTCAAATTTGTCAGATATAAATAAGAAGAAATATGAGACAAATCAGATAGAAATATGAGACAAATCAGATAGAAAATAGACCTTTGCTTCCTCGTGGTGACTAGTCATTTTTCAACTTTATACTTGGTAAACACTGCTGATACAAAAAATTGTATACAGCGCATGATTTGTACCAAAATATTATCGTTTTCGAGCTTGTTGGATCCAATGAACTGGAGTGGGGTAGAAAGCCAATGTGCATATTGTATCAATAAAACAAGATGCGACTCTATGGGCGCAGCCATTTTTATTTCTCATCTCACTCAGGAGTATTTATAATAACCATTTTCTGTTTCACATTGTTATTGTTCAATCCACATGCTGGTGGATCAGACAATAACAAAGTGAAATAGAAAATGGTTGTTATAAATACTCCCGAGTGAGATGAAAAATAACCTGTCTTTGCCCATAGAGTCGCATCTCAAGCCTATTGACAAGCATTCTACCCCACTCCAGTTCATTGGTTGGATCAAATATAGAAACAACATCTGACAACATAATCATATGTGTATTGTTAATTGTCATTATCCGTTGTCTATTAAAACAAAGGCTAAATACGTCAATTATTCATTTGATAGAAAAGAAGAAATTTAAGATTTGATATAAAAGTTGGAACTTGTATAATTATAACGTCAGCCACTAAAAGTGACAACGTAATTGGAGACAAATAAAATCCATATGCTAAAAGAATCTGAAAATCTGAAATTTTGACAATTAGGCATTCCAACGACCTGTCAAACAATAGGTGCCAGTGGGAAATTCTTGTATATCTAAGGGGGTAGCGACATAGTCTTGCAACTTGGACGCTATTTTTATTCAAAGTAGTAGTTGCCAAGCCTGCCAATTTATGAAGAAATGTATAGGTGGGTTTTTTAAATATTATTTTTATTGTGTTTGACATAAAATATTTAAATGTAATCCATTATTCATGATTTTACGTAAAGTAGATAGAATACACCATATGTCGCCACCCTTAGATATACCAAACCTGCCCACTGGTAATTCATTTGTTTGGAATGCCTAATTGAGTCCTTGTCCTTATACATATTTCTAATCTCATTTTAAATATTTTAAATTACAGTTCATCTTTTTCGTTGTTTATAATGGTACATAATATGGAAGAGGCATTAAAAATTACCTTTTTAGAAGGTTTAGATGATGATGATGTTATGTTATGTTGATAATGGGGTGTTAATACACTGCGACCTAAAATATCTATTGTGCCCCCTTATGTCGCCACTGCACTAAGGAAATGTTTCAATGCCTATAGCGACCATTCCAATCCTATTTTCTCAAGGAAGTGTAGGATTTGAAGTGGCTTCAAGTTAGGTAAGTCTCCCTCTTCTATTTGATATCCTCCTAGATATAGTGCCCTTGGATTCTGGAGTGCTACACATTCAGTTAGGATGTGAATGGAGGTTTCGTCCTCCTCCTCACAGAATCTGCACTCACTATCCTCTACTACTCTCAGTTTACTTAGGTGTCCTTTTAGTCGGCAGTGCCCGGTAAGGATCCCTGTTACAATACGTAGCCTGTTCTTGCTCAGGCAGATGCAGGCTTCCGATCTTTTTTGGTTATATTCACCCAGAAGTATCTTGGCCTAGATGACGATGATATTAAATATTAAAACATTTCGAACTTATACGAATGTTGGCGAGCGCATCCGAAAAGTATAAAGTCGCCATTAACTGCAGTCCTTAAACATCTACAATCTTTATTTTTTATTATTTTTTTTTTGGTGTGTCATCGGCTTCAACTACCAGGGTTATTTCGCCTCGTGTTCTGTGTAGGCTTTGTGACTGTTTCCCAGCGCCACTTTAGGACCAGCACTATTAATTAGAACCCAACAGTGAATGGTCGAGTGGAGAATCCTACCAAGGCATCAGAATTAATTTTAAATATTTAAATTAAATGAAAAAATTTCGGCCAACGGTGGGATTCGAACCCGGGGCCCTTGGATCCACAGGCCGAAACTCTACCACTGAGCCACCCACCCCATCTACAATCTTTATTAAAGTCAGTTCTACAATGTAAGTGATCTGCGCATAATCAGATGCCAAAATAAGAGCAGCACTCTAATAGTGACTGACCTTAAGTGAACTTGCAATAACTCTCTATTAATGCTAATACTAATCATAAATCGAGTAGAAATGTCCCCATTACATTGTGAAGGTTCAACTTAATCTTTAATCAAAATACTAATGCAAATACTAATAATAAGGGAGTATAAATAGACCCTAAATCAGTATAATGCATTAATTTTTATTTGGTAGGAAATTTGTTATTCGATTTTCTTACCTCTGGGATCATGGGCAACTATCATAAAACTTTTACGCAGTACTTTGTATGTCTCCATAGGTAGAATTCTGTTACAGCCAACTCCGTGTGTATATATTATAATAGGATAAGTTGTAGTACTAATTAAGTTTGCTGCAGTTTCTTTGTTATGAAGTTTAATTGAGCTAGAATTAATTTGACTTTCTGGGACAATCAACCAAGAGCCTATACTAACTAAAGAAGAATTATCTGTGTTTTTAGTCGTGATGTAAAAATTTACTACTCCGTCTATGCCATACTTTTGAGGATTGTCGAATTCTGGATTTTTCGGTATTTGAACTACAAAATAATTTTTATACAGTTTAATCCACTTGAAATTGAACCACCTTTAAAAATGTTCTATTTTTTGATACTGAGTGTAGCCGTGCGTTACATTTTGTAATGGCGAGGAAACAAAAATAAAAGTCTTTAATCTCACAAAAAATATGTATTTTTTTTCTATTGACAGGTTTCGAAGTTATTTTATGTATGGGGTATTAATACACTGCTACCTAAAAGATCTATTGAGACCCCATCGAAACTGGCCACAACAAGGGAAAAATACATAATTTTTGATATTTAAAGGAATTTTTTCCGTTTCTACAACTTTATCTCTATTTTCTAATCGATTTCAACAATTTTTTAGCTTAGAGCATTTATTGATATCATTTTTTTGTTCTTTTAGCAAAATAGAGAATAAAAAGTCTACTGTAGACTTTAGCAGAAAGTTCTTGATTAAGGGCCAATCTTTTTACCTCTGATTAAAGTTGAAAGTAACTAATTGCTGAATAAACTATAGGGCTATTGTTTGTAAATCTGTCAATTAAACCTACACGTAACTTTACTCAGAGGTGAAAAGATCGGCCTTAAAAAACAATTGAATCAGTCATTTGAGAAAGCCCATAAGTCACAAATTTATTATATTTCAAAAATGGCAGATTCTTATTGCTAACACTTCGCTGTACATTCTAACGAGAAATCCCATTAGTCGTAGCAAATAGTAAACCAATCTCGCAGTTTTAGAAAAAAAAAATCAGTACTTTGTCTCACACAGGATTTAAGAAAGTTTTTTTTTTAATTTACCAAACTTTTACTTTTCTGACTTATGGTGTTTCTCAAATGACCAATTCAATTTATAAAGCACACTATGATTGCTTTTTAAAACTGATAAGAGCAGAATCGTATTAGCTACTACACCACCCCCATATTTCATTGACACAAATTTTTTAGTAACAAAGTTATAAAATAAAATTTTGATAATGTACTGTTGTTTTACGAAGTTTTCATTTGAAAACTGGCAACGAGGTATACAAAAAAAAAAGATTATAAAATGGGTATGGATGGTTTCATTTTAGGTGAGTTACACTATGAAGACTAGAGAGAAGGAGGCGAATCGGCAATGTTTAAATTTCAAATTTCCGTCCTTCTTTTTATGAAGTTCACGAAATTGATTGTAGTTAGCATGTCGAATAAAAGCGGTGTCAATTTTCTATATAAGTCAATGTAAATGAAGTGATTTTTTTAAAAATTGGTGAAAAGAATCAAAATAATGTGAAAAGTACCTGAGCACAAGTAACATGAGTGACAAAAAACATCAAAGCAAGATTTACGTCGTTCCAGATTGTAAAACAGGATACAAATCAAATGTAAAACTAAAAAAACACAAGGAGAAATCAATTCAATGTCTTTTTAAAGCTTCTAATGTAGTTATGTCTAAATATAATATTTATTGTAAACTAGTCACACTATGTATCTTACGGAATGTAGTTTATTTTATTACAAGTTTCTATAATATAAAATTTTACAGACATATATCCTGACTCACAAATAACAATAATTATACATTAAATTTAACTTACTAGAACAGAAAATTTATTTTGTATACAGTTCTAATGTTAGATAAAAAATTGCTATTGTTATTTATTTTGTTGAACCCCAATTGAAAATGTTTTTTATAACTTTAAGTTTTGCATACCGTGCATTAGAGGGCGTTACGAATTAAACGGCTCTAATAAAAATAAACTGTCGCCTTTAATTAGTTAACCTCACTTCCAAGTTTCAGTCCGATTCATAGAGTGTTGTAGTTACACCGAATTTTCAAAGTTGACAAGTTGTTCAAGAAATGGATTTAAACCGAGAACATTTTCGTGCCATAATTTTTTACAAATTTCGAAGACAATTATCTCAACAAGAATGCCTCGCCGAGTTGGTTTCTGTTTTCAGTAGTGATGCACCACATCAATCGACAATTTCTCGTTGGTATGGAGAATTTACACGAAGACGGAAGAGGAAGATCGGCATGTGACACATCGTGAGATTGAAGCATCGTTAGGAATTTCAAAGGCCTCAATCTAAAAGATTTTGCATGAAGAATTGGGAGTAAAAAAAATTAGTGTCCCGTTGGATACCGAATCTGTTGACCGAAGAACAAAAAGAAGCTAGGGTAAATTGGTGTCAAAAAACTCTGGAGCGCTCCAAAGCTGGTAACTCTAAAAACGTGTACTGCATCGCAAGTGGTGATGAATCATGGATTTACACATATGAACCTGAAAATAAACGCCAATCGTCTGTTTGGGTTTTCCAAGGTGAAGACAAGCCGACAAAAGTGATCCGTTCTCGAAGTGTGTCTAAAAAGATGGTCGCAACATTTGTCTCCAAAGCAGATCATGTTGCAACAATTCCTCTGCAAGAGCAAAGAACTGTTACTGCCGATCGGTATATAAAGATTTGTTTGCCAGCAGTCACCGCTAAGCTTCGGGAAACCAACCCCAAACGACGAATCAACCTCCATCAAGACAATGCAAGTGGGCACACAGCTCGCAAAACAATTGCCTTCTTAGAGCAACAAAACGTCGAGTTCTTAGACCACCCTCCTGACAGTCCCGACCTAAGTCCCAACGATTTTTTTACCTTTCCGAAAATCAAGAACGCATGCGTGGGCAACGGTTCCAGTCACCAGAAGATGCTGTTGATGCATTTAAAACAGCCACTGGAGCTGTGACACCCCAGGAGTGGAATAACTGCTTTCAGAGCTGGTTCGAGCGCTTGCAAAAGTGCATTAATATTCGTAGAGAATACTTTGAATAACAATAAAATGTTTAAACACTATCTGCTGTTTTATTCTAGGTCTATATGCAAAACTTAAAAGACAGCCTTCGTATATCGTTCCTAGTGCCGATAAGACACTTTCTAAAGATGATGCTGTTCTATACTTTTTAGAAGATATTATCAAATATTATAAAACTACTTTTACTAATGGTACTGTTAGCAAAATAAAAAGGGAAAAGCTGAAATTAAAGGATGAGTTAATACTATGTACATTCGCAAATCTCCCTTTATATTTGTATTACAATAATAAAAAAATCTGTTAACTGTGTTTTATTCTGCTTTAAAAACCATATATAGGTTCAATTCAAAAAAATTTTGCCACAAAATTTCAGCATTTAACAAACCTTTTCGAATTTGGTCATACCTACCTAATTTGTATTTTATATTGATAAAATAAAATAATTTATCAATTAAAACATGCAAGACTTATTTAGAAATAAATACAACAGCATGTTCTGTGCTTTATTTAGCTATAAACAAGTTTATTTTTATTATTTTGACAAAATTATGTATAATTCCGATAAGAAGCCATGTATTTTGAACACCGTATGCAGTACTAGCGCCCATGCGGTTAATTATAAAAGCTCAATTAGCGTGCGTTTTTTGGGACCGTATTTTGAGTATGCCAATTCGCCTCCTTATCTCTAGTCTTCATAGGTTACACTGATATAGTTAATTTAAACGTTTTTTTAATGTTCAACGAGTTTTGCCAAAAATTATATTTTTAATAAAATAATGTGTAGCTGAAATAGGTATTAAAAAAATATTGGACACTTACAGGTATAAAATAAGAAAAATCGTTGTACGGATATGGAATTCATGTATACTAGTGGAAATATAACCCATATTGCCAGAAACGCTAAAAAAAGAATCACAAATCTGTAACAAAAAAAATCTTTATAAAAAGTGTACGTTTTAAAACCGTAGAAATTATAAAAATCTCTGAAACATGTACCAAAATTTTTGTTTCTTTTGAAGGACACTAGATCGTTACCAGGGCCGACAAGAGGAGGGGTAGCCGGGACTAATTCCCGGAGCCCGGGCTCAAGTGGGGGCCCGGCAGCGACGGCATAAGGGGGGCCTGGCAACTTTGGTGAGGACGTTTTTTGCTTCTTCAGCAGTTCGGTACAAGAGGTGGGAACTTTTTTTTTAGAGATTCAGTAAATAGGAGGAGAAGTTTTTGCTTGAAGACCTTTTTTTTTAGAGATATTCAGTAAAGAGGAGGAGAAGGTTTGCGTTTAAGACCTTTTTTTTAAAGAAATTCAAGTAAAGAGGAGGAGAAGTTTTTGCTTGAAGACCTTTTTCTCGGCGGCCCTGATCGTTACAGAAATAAAAATAATAATCTTAATATCTTATGTCATCTCATTTTAAAGGAACAAATGAAAGAAATAGATTTATTTATAAAATTACAAATAATTAAAATACTCGTATTACATTTTATTGTCTTGTTAGGTACTTATTTTCAACTTTTTTAAAGTATTACCGAAAAGTACGTTTAGCAAAAGCCGCTATGTATAGTTTGTTGCTTAATTTTTTGCTTTTTTTTTAATTAGTTTTATTACAGCCGTATGCATAGTCGATCGCCAGCGACTCGCCAGAGATTCATTTCGGCGTATCGCCAGCGATTCGCTGGCGATCCGCCGGCGAAAGCCCAAGAACCTGGCGACTCGCCGGAGATTGTTACCGGAATGTTATTTCACGCAAGTTTTTATTTTCTTTTATAGGGATTATCACCGGTATCTCTCGCATTTTAGTCATGATTCATTTCTTAAAACTCAAAAAATAATGAACGAATATCAAATTTTTCCCTATAAAAGAACATGAAAACTTGCGTGAAATGACATTCCGGTGACAATCTCCGGCGAGTCGCCAGCTTTTTGGGCTTTCGCCGGCGGATCGCCAGCGAATCGCTGGCGATACGCCGAAATGAATCTCTGGCGAGTCGCTGGCGATCGACTATGCATATGGCTGTTGTTAGTTGTTTATTTGCTTTCTTTACAAAATGTAAATTTACCTTATCAAGACTGCTATATTCATGTTCGACTTAATTGACTTCTCTGTCAAGTGGTTAATGGTGATATAATATTAGAAATATTTAAAAGCGCTTGTATTTATTAACACAACTAAAACGAAAATAGTCGAAATTCTATTAATGATTAGTTGTGTAAGCAAAACCAAGATATTTGTAATCTATTTAATTATAAATATCCCAACAAAGAATCAATTGCTCAATCTACATTAAGCAAAATCAGAAAATCGGGTCATATTTAACAAGTATTCAGCTCGTGTTTAATGTTAGGCAGACAGAGCTGTTTCATCGACTGCCGCATTAGAAAGAGCGAAACACCTCCCTCAATTGAGTGGGGATGGTTTGTGGGAGCATGCGTTTTATGAATGAACCACCAGCTAGTACAATTGGAGTTGTTACTAGGATTTTCTGGTATAATCCCTATAATACTTTACGGCAAGTAGATTATTACACAAAAACATTGATTATTTCCCTCTCCTGACAACTTTGACATTTGAACCAATCATATCGTAAGTTTATCGTTAGAACCAATCAGAACCATATAAATCAACTATTTTCACTGACTATTTAAAATCGATTACCCATGCCTGGTGCTTGATATTCACCTATGTTGACAACAACTCGCATACTTAATTATAGGTATATTATTTCACAACGGCTACTTTCAAATATATTTATGGTGAGAGTACCAGCTAATATCTCGTGGAACGTTTCAAAATGAACCGAAAATAAAAGTTATTTTATTGTGTATTTATTAATTTAAGTTACATTTAGGGCTCTAGAAATAATCTCATAAAATATAACTCGACCTTAATAAATTAGCCTCTATTTCTATTGTTACTAAATTTTTCGTATATTTTGTAATTTGTCTCGATACAATTTTGTCATTCAGATGAAGCTATTCCTCCTAAATGTACATCTAAACCCTCAGACTTGTCGGTATTGGACCACTGAAAATTCACATTGGATGCAGCATACTCAATACCTACCAAAAGTTAATGTTTGGGACGGAATAATACATAATAGAATTATGGAACCATGATTTAATGATGAAACCTTAACAGGTCCTCGATATTTACAAATTTTTGCCAGACTACTTACTCCCCGAACGAAATCGGCTGCTTTCAAACGGAAATGATATTTGGTTTCAGCAAGATGGTGACAAGGAATGCTGTATTGGTATGAAACTAATTGATTAACGTATTTCAAGACGAAGAGGATCAATTAAATTCCCACCTAGGTCTCCAGATTTAACTTCCTCCCTGGACTGCTTTTTATGGCGATATTTAAAAAGGAAAGTATACAAAAATTGACCACAAATTATTGATGAACTTAAAGGACGCTTCCCGAAGTTATAGATAATGTTAGAGAAGAATTTACTGTTCGTCTTTCTCACTGTATTTAATCGTCAATTTGAACATTTGCTGTAAAAGGAATTGCAATTTTATAAATAGCAATGATTATATATTAAAGATTTTTGACAATATACACAAAGTCCCATTACTTAACCACTAGCTTAACCATATTGTTATGGTTTGATAGCGCACACAAACCGCTCTAAACATTGTTGACGAGTGGTGCAGAGAGGAGGAACTAACATTAAACCCTCACAAAACCACAATAGTCAACTTTACAAAACGAAAAGTACTAACAGGACTAAAGTCACCAATACTGAATGGAGGGAAGATTCCATTTGCTCAAGAGGCCAAATACTTGGGAGTCACCTTTGACCACAGGTTAACATAAAATCAACACTTGCAAAAAGTCACCCAAAAGAGCACAACATCCTTCAACTTATGTGGAAGGATGTGTGTAACCCTTCTGTGGTGTAACAAAAACAACTATCAGAACATGCACAAAGCAGTGGATGTTTAAAAAATCTCAGGAGTGGTGGAAAAACTCTCCAGGACAGAGACATACCAAAGAGTTCCTAAAAGGACTATCGCCTAAACTCATAGAGCATCTACTAAGCCTTAATAGGAAAAATATTAGAGTACTAGTAGGTCTATTAACAGGGCATTGTAGGATTAACAAACAGATGTATAATATCGGTCTGACAGAAGAGACTTTGTGCCGATTCTGTCAGAAAGAGGAGGAAACGGCAGTACACGTAGTGTGCTACTGCGAATGTCTAGCTAGATTGAGATTCCTTACACTTGGAGAAGAAAAACCAAGGGGAACTAGCTATACCGGAGAACTACTTCCCAATCTATGGAGTCTACTACAAAAGACCGAATTAGACAAGGTACTCTATACAACAATTCAAAGATATCCACAATAGATCTGAAAAGGTCGAGGTGGGGGAGGCCACATTGCCCACAGTCCTAATTAAATCTAATCCATGGTTTGATAGATAATCAAAATATGTATCTTTTAAAAGAGGTACTGCAAATTTAACAATTTCATTCAGTCGCTCTTCAACCTTCGAACAATCAACATGTAAATAGGTATTGTTCTTTTCGTACTGTACCTGCCGGCACGTTAGCGGTAGAGAAAATTCGATAGCATACTGCTAAGTTTCTCGCAAAGCAAGTATTTTTCTGAATGCAATTCCAGTCTTAACAGGCGTAATCTACTTGCCGGATCGATCGGAAGTAGATAAATTCAAGTCGAGTCTGTCTCCAACCATCGACCTGTTAACATATTTTGAGTCCAATGTTCTTCGTATCATACCTGCCGGCAGGTAGCGGAGATACATATAAAATTTGCATCTGGTGCTAAGTTTCTTAAAGTAAGTGTGTTTTTAAACATAGTTAATGTACTATGTTAATAATTAAAGTTAATAAAAGGTAATCGTCGTTAGAGTTTTAACCAGTGCAAGGAGGTAATAAGTGAAACTGCAGTTTAACCGTACCAGCTTAAGGCTGATGTTCAAAAGTGTAGACCACATTAATAAATATATCTATACAAAAAATTACACGACACATTTCAAAATATTTTTCAATTTGCCTGGACATGCCTTATTTTATTTGTATCCTTTTATTGGTATAATCATAGATACAGATATTTTTAAAGCTGTAAATATGGTCCTGCATACGCTAATTTAGTGATGACGTAATTTTGGTTCCACTGACAATTAAAGTGACAGTATTTTATTTGATTGTGTTTTGTTTACTTAAATTATAATATATTGTTTTTAAACTTTTATAAATACATTTTTAAGTAAGTAGATAACATACATTAAGTATTATTATAATCATTAGTAACCAATTACATACCTTTAAACTACATTTTATGACCTGCAAACGATATCTATTAAAAAAATAAAACGAAACAGATCGCATATCTTGAAGACACATTTTTTTTGGAGAAAATGCAAAAAGAGGTCGATTTTTATTTCAAAGGGGACATCTTTCTATCATATCCTCAACTATCCTACATCCCTCCCCCCCCTCTGTCACTATTACCAATGAAATTGAAATAGGGAAAGTACTAAGTGTGACGCATCATTGAAAAGGTAATTTTATAAGGAATTTGACTGTGTGACATGTGACAGTTTAAATAAGCGTATTGTCATGTGAAAGCCGAATTTAAAAATTTAATGCATAATTACCTTTGGAATAAAATTGAACTTACTACGCCTATGTTTTTGTAAAATAAATAAAGGTTTTTATTTCCATAACTACCAGGTCTGTTTTTTATTTTAGCGTCATTGATACTTCAAGTCTATTAGCGAGTAAAACATAAAAATGGTTTATTCTATTCAGAAGAGAGTAGAAATTGTTGAATGTTATTAAAAAATAACGAATGTGCTAACACTGCCTATACAATTTTCAATAAGCGACACCAAAACAAACAGGTTAAACGTAAGTACGTTTTGGAACTTATTTCAAAATTTCGACAAACAGGATCTGTTCAAAATAAAAACCGGCAGATTCAAAATCCAGTAAGAAACGAAGCCGTAGAGGTAGCCGTTTTAGGACAAGTTGTTGCAGAGCCAACTCTTAGTATAAGAAAGCTTGCAGGAGAATTTTGAAAGCCAACAAATTCCATCCCTATAAAATTCATTTAGTTCAAGAACTTTAACGAAGACGATTTTGATCACTGCTTGCAATTTTGTGAAATCATGAGCGAGCATGCTATACAAGATCCACATTTTCTTTATAACATTTGTTTTTCAGATGAATGCAGTTTTTATGTTAACGGAACTGTCAATCGACATAATTGTCGATACTGGTCAGATTCCAATCCAAGAGTATTTCATGAAACGCATACTCAACACCCAGAAAAGTTAAACGTTTGGGCTGGAATATTTGGCGATCGTATTGTTGGTTCATTATTTTTACCAGGTACTTTAACTGGGGATATGTATTTGAAATTACTCGAAAACATTGTTGATCCACTGTTAACAGACATAATAGAACACGATAACCGATACCTTGAAGATCACCTAATATTTCAACAGGACGGGGCTCCTCCACATTTTGCTGCAACGGTTCGTCAGTTCTTAAATGAAAACTTTCCTAGACATTGGATTGGACGAAGAGGATTTATTGAATGGCCCCCACGATATCCTGATCTGTCCCCCTTAGATTACTTTTTATGGGGATATCTGAAAAGTAAAATAAACGCCACTCAGCCAGGTTCCTTAGAAGAGTTACGTGAACGTATTATTACCGAATGTCGTCAAATAACTCCAGAAATGCTCCAAAACATCAGACAAAGATTTGAGAATAATTTATATTCGTGTATGGAAGTTAATGGACAACACTTTGAGCATTTACTTTGAAGTAATTTAGTTTTTAATTATGGGAGTTGTCCTAAATTTTTCAATTTAATTTTTATGTTCACTTGTCTATTATTTTTTTATTTTTATTATGAATTGTCTATTAAATGAGTTTTACTTTCAAATGAAGTATTATTATTTAAAATACGGAAATTTTTCCCGCAAGATGGCGCCAAAATCAAAAGTTACGTAATAAACTGTCACACAGTCAAATTCCTTATAAAATTACCTTTTCAATGATGTGTCACACTTAGTACTTTCCCTATTTCAATTGGTAATAGTAACAGAGGGGTGGGGAGGGATGTAGGATAGTTGAGGATATGATCGAAAGATGTCCTATTTGAAATAAAAATCGACCTCTTTTTGCATTTTCTCCAAAAAAATGTGCCTTCAAGATATGCTATCTGTTTCGTTTTCGGTGCCTCACCCTGTATTAAGGTTAATATCGATACACTGCTTAGTGAAAATCAACATCCCCAAACTTCTCACTAATATTTTTGTATATTTGTAATTTTGTTTATATAAATAAATATGTACCTATTGCAAATCACTGATAAAGTTGCATACCTACATAGTAATTTGTGATGAGGTCCTTACAACCGTAATTTTATTTACAGTTGCCCTTGGGTTACTTGAAGTTGGACAGCTCTACTTGTATTAGTATTAGTATTATGATTAAGCATTAAACTGGACAAATTATTCAAAAAAGGTATTTATACTCGTTTTATAATTAATATTAATGAGGGCCAAAAGAAAGGTATGGTGTGCGTTGATCTAGTTCATTCCTACACCAGTGGGACGAACGAAAGAACATATAATTAATATTAGTGCCTCTTTTTTAATAAGATATAATTCTGCAGTCCACAAAATGTTGGTTAGAAATCCTTCTTAGAATATTTTTTAAGATATTTGAGTTTTAAAAGTGTTTTAATTAATATTTATACTAGTTAATTTTATGTAAAAATATTTAAGGACATTTTAACGGATTTATGTCTCAAATTTATAACAGATAAAAAGAAGCAGAAATTTGAGATAAATCTGACAGAAAAGAGGCCTTTGCTTCCTCGTGGTGACATGTCATTTGTCAACTTTATAATCGGAAAACACCTTAGAGCATTGTTCTAAGGTAAACGCTGCTGATACACAAAAATTGTATATACCGAATAATTTGTACCGAAATATTATCGTTTTCAAGCTTGTTGGAACAAACCAATAAACAACATCTGACAACATAATCATATGTGTATTGTCAATTGTCATTATCTGGCCAACTACGTCATTGATTCATTTGATAGAAAAGAAAAAATTAAGATTTAACATAAAAAACCAGTCAATTATTAGGCATAAATATTAATGCTAATCATAAATCGAGTATAAATGTCCCCATTACATTGTGAAGGTTCAACTTAATCCTTAATCATAATACTAATGCAAATACTAATAATAAGAGAGTATAAATAGTCTAAGTCTTACATTGCCCTAAATTTATTATGAACAACCTCGCAACTTTTGCAGAACCTGGTATATAAAAGCAAGGGATATTAAAAGATATGAATGTTAATTAGTTTTACAGTTTTTTAACAGACTTGATGAATTTAATCTTCAATAAGATAAAATAAAACAGAATTGAAACAAATAACTCATACTTACAAAATTACACCAATAATAAACAAAACTTTCTGCCACTTTTTCCAACTTCTATAAAACTGTCTTTGTGGCTTATCTTCTCGGTCGTGATTTCCAACGTAACTATACACAGAATCCGCGGAATTAGATCTCTAAAATTTCACAAAAATAAACACTTTAGTTACGAGATGAATTTACATTATTATAATTTGTATAACTTACTAAGCATCGTATCGTTCCCATGTTTTATATTTTATATAATTTTATCTTGGTCAATAAATAAATCCAAACGGAAAATACAGAGATAATTTTATTGATTTACTTTTTCTTCAAAATCGATAGTATGCAACGTATTGAAAAAGTATTATCTGACTGTGTAGTATCTCTCTTCGACAGAGATAAACCTTTCACGCGGAAAATGTTTTAAATATAACTATTCATAAAGGCAACTTACCTGTTATCGAATAATTTTTGTAACAAGATAAAGTCTTATCTTTTTTTTTAATTGAAATTAAATGATTACGATACAATACTTATGACTAGTTGGGCAATTACAATTCCGTAATAACTATTAGTAGGATATAGTTAAATTCGTTATATTTTCAAATAAAAAATTGATTGTAATTACTATGAATTACATTGGTCCGTATTTATAAACAAAACTCTAAAGTTAAAGGTGGTTCCGGTGTTACACTGGAATTTAGAGATGGATATTAGCAAATCTGTAACTGTTAAGTACATTTGTTACCACCCATCTCTAAATTCACGCGATATAAGGGCCCTATTCTCGAATGTCTATTTCTAAATGTCACACGCGACATTGATAAAATGTCGAATAAGAACGCAAAAACGTATTCTGGAATGGCGAATTCGACATTTGTTGTTATACATAAAGTCGAGTGGTATTCAACCAGTCGACATTGTAATGTCGCATGCCTTTTTAAATATAATGTTATAATATGAATAGAAATTTGTGCATTAAAACATGGATACAGTCCGCTTCAGAATTATAATGGAGCCTGTAAAAGGTAAGATTCTTACAGGCCTCACAACAGTTTTCTTGAGAATTTTAAATTCTTTATGATTTTTTGGGATACTTAATATCATCAGCATATTTTTAAGGTTCATTTTGCTTATACCTAAAATTAATTAAGTATATAATAAGAAAATTTAAACAATACACAAAATTAGTCGATTAAATTAAAGTTTGTTACGGGTTTTATTCTATCTAAACCTAGACTAGTCTAAATTACCCTAGTTTACACTACTCTAAACTATTCTATTTCCTAGCCTAATAGGATCCGGTGGAATGGCACCAGACAGTATGTCTGGGACTACATTATCCTTCCCTTTTCGGTGAATGACCTCAAAGTCATACTGTTGGGGTCGAACTGCCCAACGTGCTATTCTGCCAACAGGATCACGAATGGAATTCAGTCATTTCAGGCTATACTGGTCGGCGATCACCTGAAACCTCGTCCCCTCTAAGTAAGGTCTAAGTTTCTCGATCGCAAATAACACTGCCAAACACTCCTTCTCCGTCGTGCTATACTTACGCTCCGCGGCGGTAAGGGATCGAGAAAGGTAACAAACTACTTTCTCGCCTTCAGCATGTTTTTGACTCAACACCGCACTAGGGCATAGTCACTAGCATCAGTCTAAACAACAAAGGGCAAGGTATAGTCGAGGTCGGGACAGGACAAAATAGGGGCAGACACCAGTACATCTTTAAGAGATTGGAAAGCCAAAGCACACTTCTCCGACCAAATAAACTTTTTATCTTTGCGTGTTAGTTCACACAATGGGTCGACTAATTCCGAAAAATTAGGTACAAAACGCCGATACCATGAAGTCAAGCCAATCAGGCGACGAACTTCCTTGACGGTACGTGATATGGTAATCTGTAGTACAGATATCGGGTCGGTAGTGTAGCGGTCTAACGCGCTTATATTCATTTATAGGCAAGTTTATGAGTCTGAGACTGTTGGGCTTCGAATCCCAGACCGGACCATGTGGATTTTTAATTAAATTGCATGGTTCGGTTGAGGATTTGATGTATGCCGTATTAATAGAAATTCAATTTCTGTTGATATGACATGCAGATTAAAAAAATCGCCATGCATTACCGTCTCGATGATGGTGGGTGAGGTTTTCCGGGTTTTCCTCACCTGTAAGTCAAATGGCATACCATAAATCATCTTTAAGCAAATAATAATAATAGCCGTCCCTTCCCCTACACAAGTCGTTCAGTCGACTTCAGGGGTTAGAGTTCACTCGTAAGGGGGTGAATTAGGGAGAGTATTATTATTTTTTTTTTTTTTTTTATTTGGTGTCATCGGCGTCGACTACTACGGCCATTAGCCTCGTGTTCTGTGTAGGCTTTGTTACTGTTTCCCAGCGCCACTTTAGGAACAGCACTGTTAATTAGAACCCAACAGTGAATGGTCGAGTGGGGAATCCTACCAAGGCATCAGAATTAATTTTAAATAATTAAATTAAATGAAAAAATTCCGGCCAACGGTGGGATTCGATCCTGAGACCTTCCGATCTCAAAGTCATGACATTATTATTATTATTATTATTATTATTATTATTATTATTATTATTATTATTATTATTATTATTATTATTATTACTCACCTTCTCTGGATCTACCAAAAGACCGAAAAAGTTGACTACATAACCTAGATATTTAAGTTCTGGCTTACAGAAGTGGTATTTGTCGCGATTTAGGGTAAGACCAGTGGTTGTTAGCCGAGTCAATCCCTCTTTCAAAATCTGAACATGCTGCTCAAAGGTCGATGTACAGATGATAACAAAGTATATTAACCGTTGAGTAGCGACATAAAGCGTCGGTGCCTTTGATCTTGGGTGGTGCAAATTTTCTTTCTCTCTCTTTTGACGTTATTGATGGAACGACACACTAAAACACTGCTCGAATTATGAACTGGTCTTAAATGTGATGTTTACACTGCTCGACGTAATTTAAAGTAAAACTCTTTTGTAGTTTACATTTATAATAAAGGTTTGGTCATCAGGCAGTTTTATATTTATAAGTATTTAACTTATGTAATAAATATAAAAATATATATCACTATTGATAAATTTCAATTTTTTTACCTACGTCCGGATGAGCTAGAGACTTGAAAGTTGGTAGGTGCACAAGGTTTTGATTTTTGATAACAACAGAAATTATTACTTATGGACCTTCTTATTTATTAATCGAATTATCTCAAACTTTAAATTTCGCGTTGTTTAAACATGTCGCTGAATACAATTTTTGACTAATAAATCCACAACAACGAATTCCTATATCAGCTGCCGGACTAAAGTGAAAGGGGTTGTTTACATCTTTAGAAGACGTCTCGCCACTCTATTTCGCGTCGGCGCTCTAGAATTCGGTTCTCCAGCTGTCGCTACTCAACGGTTAATATACTTTAATGATAACGTCATCGAGGTACACGAAAACGTGCTCGATCGATGAACCTTTGCCACGTAGCTGGAGCGTTATGTAACCCCATAGGCATACGGCAGAATTGGAACAGTCCGCGCCCTGGCACAACAAAAGTGGTCAATGGTTACGATTTTTCCAATAGGGATATTTGCCAATAGGCTGATTTGATGTCTAGTATTGTCAGAACGTGAGCGTCTCTCAGCTTATCCAGGGTCTAACTAACAAATGGGATAGAGTATGCATCTCGGTTGGTCACCTTGTTCAGTTGGTGGAAATCGACGCAGAAACGATAACGGCCGTCTGATTTTCGAACCAGCAAAATCGGTGATGACCAAGCTGATGTAGACGGTTCAACCACTCCATCCTTGAGCATACCATCCAACTCTTCGTACACTTGCTTAAGTAGAAATGGAAAAATTGGATAGTGCCTCAAGCGGATCGGCGTCGAATCCGTGACTATCGTATGCTCCACCATCTGTGTACATCCTAAAGTAGGTCCCATTTTCGCAAACGTTGCATCTGTCAACTCTGTCAATTGTTTTTGTTGGATAACCGATAACATCTCGTATGACTGAATAGCTCCAACGTCTATCTCATCCCCTGGAAAACTCTCTTCTCGAAAATTCCATACCTCGGAAAATAAATCGGGGATAATTCCCATCTCAACCCAAAAATCCATACCCAAAATCAAAGGTTGTGGTACGGAAGGAACAACAACAACAACAACATCAACAAGGAAGTTCCCCAAAATGGCCAACAAAAGTCAATGTCTTAGCAAGAAGGCTATGACTACAAAAGGGTAATAGGATAATTTCTGGTAAGACTGTCAATATTTATAACTTTAGAAGAATCTGACAACTAAAGGAGTTAAAATAGACATGTCAATAATAACAATAAAAATAAAGCTTTTTAGTAATTAAATGAGCTAGAGTTATTGTTCAAAGTAGCGAAATATATTTACTTACATTAAAAATTATTTATTAAGGTATTAATTATTATTGAATATACTCTAGGTGAGATTATACTTTATTACAAAATATTATTTTATATTTTACTACAAAATATGTTTGATGAAAATGGATATTTTATGAATTTATTTAATAGATCCATTTTATTGATTTATATACATTTATATACCGCACACTCTTAAATCTAAAGGTTACTAAAGAGATTAGCATAGGTTATAGTATGTAATAGGGCAGTTTAGTAGTTAGAGTAGCTTAGGGTAAGTTAAAATCAAATAGAAGTAGAATAGTGTAAATAGTTAAGCGTAGAATAGTAATAGGATAGATTAGACTAATTTAGGATAGGGTAGGATAGAAAAGTTAGAATAATTAAGATTAGTTTAAAATAGTTTAGGATAGTTTAGAATAGAATAATCTAGTTTAGATTAGTGTAAGATTAGAATAATTTACAATAGGGTAGGCTAGGAAATAGGATAGGTTAGAATAGTTTAGAGTAGTGTAAACTAGGGTAATTTAGACTAGTCTAGGTTTAGATAGAATAAAACCCGTAACAAGTTTAAAAAAAATGTGAACAAAAACGTGGCTTTGTCTTTTTCCTTAAACATTCTTTTTGAAAGAAACTTAAATTTCTATGCTTTCCTTGCTGTTTTAGTAGTTTAGTAGCGGATGAATATGGAGAGGAAGTAGTGACAGGATTGATTAATATACTTCTCTCGTCGAAATTTACTGAAATTTACTGAAAGGGGGGAAGACTCCCTCTAGTAGTAATTGCTTGGAGATTGAAACATAGTATTGAGTGTATTGTGGAACATTGCTGAAAAATACCTTATCGCTTTTCCATCATCATACCTAGTCGAAAAAGGCTTCAGTGTGGTTATAAACATTTTGACAAAACAAAGAAACCGTTTGAAAGTCTACAAACGCGGATATTTAAGGGTGCAATTCACCGGTATTGAACCAGATTTAACTAGATTGGTAGAAAGTCATCCATCACACAGAATTTT